TTTGTCGGCTCAGCGCTGCAGCCATGTAAATTTAAATGAAGCGGCGATTATTTAAATCGCCGCTTCATTTTACTATGTCTGGTAGCCTAATCTACATGCCTCTGGCGACAGAGGCACGTAGTCTAGACGTACCCAGTGTCTCCATGGAAGACTGGCCATCTCTCTTTACTCTCCACAGCCAGACCAGTTGCGAAAGGGGAGCAGTCGACACCACCTGGGACAGCCTCCTGGACCTGAGGGACCTGCAGCACTGGAGACCCATGGACGACTTTTGTTACCCCCAAAAATTCCCATCTTTTGGCCTCTGGCAGGCTCCTGGGAGCTGTCTGACTGCTCCCTGGGAGCAGCGGAGGGCTGGCTGGGAGCAACAGGGTTGCTCATTTTTGGACAAAGTGAGGCAGTAGCAGCTGCAGGGTGGCTCAGGGCTGTTAGGGTCTCCTGCTACAAGCCCTTTCTGCTGAGACTGTAGCTTTAAGGGCTCCAGAGGAAGGGGGGCAGGATCTAAAGTTTGGCTGCCCTGTCTACACAGCCCCTATTTCAAAATAACTATTTCAGAAGATGCATTATTCCTCCTAGAATGAGGTTAACAGATTTTGGAATAAGCTGCATGTTGTTTTGAAATTATTTCCAAATAACGTTATTGTTGTGTGGACGCTCACAGTTATTTCAGAATAATGGCCGTTATTCTGAAATAACTTTGCTGTGTAGATGCACCATTAAGTCTTGCTGGTCCCCACCTGTTCGGAGGTGCGGAGTGATGACTGCCAGTACTGGCGTCACTGAAACATGCACAGATGTTACCCTTATACCATGTTAGCCTTCAAAACCCCCACAAAAACCCTTCGTGCCATTTTTTCTTCACTCCAAGATCCTGGGTTCAGCCTTTATCTATTTTCCCACAGTTTGTACAGAAGAGCTTTTCAAGAGAGCCACTCTTGTTATAACAAAAACATGAGCGTGGGACAAAACACATGAAGTAACGAAAGACACAGGGGTTATTATTAGTGAAGTGTGAGCTTCCCAGACAACTTTGCTATGTCCAAGTATTTTAATGTGATGCAGATGTATTAAACTCCCATATAGAGGGATTGTCACAGCTTGGCAAAAACATAAAAAAAAGAGCATTAAAATAGAATGTAATTGACTTTGACAGTCAAATCACTATTATTCCTTTGCTATTATTTCAGATATTCGGATATTAAGAAGTCTCTTGCTCACAGCTCAGTTGCCCTTAGGATGGCTCCTGCAGCGAGGAATACTGCCTGCTTGTATAATCCTTGACACCAGGAGATGCAAAGTAATTTATAAAGGTGGGTAAGTATCACTTTCCTCATATCAGTCATAGAAAAAAAAATGAGGCACAGAGACTGGCTACTCTGCCCAGAGTCACACACTGAGTCAGTGGCCAGGTCTACGACAAACAAGACTAACTGTCTCCTGTACTTTTGACGCCTGCCTTTGCGACCATCCAAACCAGTGTGACGTCAGGAACCCAGAATGACGACTGTAACCCAAGGTCACGTGAGAACACGCAGTCTAGGAAGCTGGATGGATTATATGGCTGGCGAGAGATTATGGTAGCATGGTCCTGTCATGAAATCACAGAACTCGTAGTCAGAGCATCTTTGCATTATTGCATTAATTTCCCATTGAACTCTGGGCAAGAAACGTACAGGCAGTCCCCGGGTTACGTACAAGATAGGGACTGTAGGTTTGTTCTTAAGTTGAATTTGTATGTAAGTCGGAACTGGTACATATTGTAGGGGAAACTCTAGCCAAACATTTCTCCAGAGTTCAGTTTTATTCTCCCACACCTCACTTCCCTCTGTCCTTTATTCTCAAGCTGAGGTGTCTGCTGAAAAAAGCCGCTCCGCGTCTCCCTGGTCTGCTGGGGGGAGGGAGGGCACCAGCTCCGCATATCCCTGGTCTGCTGGGGGGGAAGCAGCTAGTGCGGGGTTGCCTCACCCCGTTTGTAAGTAGGGATCCGATGTAAGTCGGATCCATGTAACCTGGGGACTGCCTGTACTTGCCCATCCCTTGATGTCCCCACCTGTGAAAGGATGGTGCCAACACTGACCTTAGCAGAGAGCAATGAGACTTCATTCACTCACCTCTGACATGCTGCAACATCCTCAGATGGGAGTCGCTGGACAAATGCAAAAGGCTGGTAGGGAGCCTTTCCCATCTGGCCTACAGCAAACCCTTCAACGCCTCCATCAAATGAGTCTGTCTCAGTCCACCCCACGACGGGCACATACCCACCCCAGAAAAGCTGCACAGCAACCCAGAAAAGCCCAGGACGAGCTGAGCCACAAGGAGTGGTCACCCCTCTACCCAAGAAGGGCAGCCCTCTGCGTCCAGGCTGAGGCATGCCAGAGAGCGAAGCACACGCTGCCTTTACCCGCGCTGCACCCGCTCTGAGGCTACACAGAGCACCTTTCAGAGCTGTCTTTCCTCAGGCCTAGATGGGGGGAAAGGAAAGAGAAATATCACCCCGCCCCTCCTCCCCCCGGGGCTGTGGTTGTGAGGAAGGAAAGGCTCATTTAAATGTCTTTGATCATTAGCAAATATCCCCCTGAAATGTCAGTGGAAAATGGCAGGCAAAGGTGAAATAATTCACATTTAAAATTGATTTTCTGGGAGCTTCCTTCACTCACGGTGCACCGGAGTAGTCGGTAGCAGATAATGGCTGACGGGGGATGTCTCTTGGCACAGCTCTTATACATAACAGACAGCACTGAGTTTGTGCTTAGGCATTCCAACGGGATACCTGCACTTCGGGCCCAACTCCAGTCTCAGGGACACAGTTGGGGGCCTGGAACGGCTCCACATGTGCTGTACTCCAGCTCACTGAAATCACGAGGGGGCCCATGAGGAGAGAGCTTTGAAGGGGAGTCGGATCAGGGCCACCCCGATCCCGGCCTTCAAGCAATGCCAGAATCTGGCTCCTCCAGCAGACATCACCAAAACCCATGCGCTGCAGAAGAGTCTGACATTTGAATGCACAAACAGGGCGATGGAGCTTAGGCCCTTCTGAAGCCTTGACACTAAACACACTGATGTGCTTAAGAAAACTCACCCAAAAGGGGACCCTGCATTGGCTGTATTCAAGCCACCCCGGTTACATGCAACTCAAGGGAAGGCTCTTAGCACACTGCAGATGTGATTTTACTCCTGTAAAATAAATGGTTGGGCCTGTGGGAGAGCTCTGAGCTGCAGACGGCATTAGAGAGCCACGGCCAATCTTTCCTCAGGCCAGTGGCAGAAGTGCGCGTTTACTCAGAGTCTGGAGAAGCCATTAGCCGCGAAAGCCAACAGATCAGCCTTAGGATAAGGGTGTTATAGGCAGACCCTGAAATGACAAGGCAAGAGTGGAATGCCCACAGCATTAAAAGTGGACAAAAAAAAGAGTAGCTAGGAGAGATCAAACCAGCAAGGGGACCTCATGCTGTTCCACAGGAGTATGGTGGTTACTCCTTAAAAAACTGGGAAATCCCCCTTTAGAGCGGCATTTCCTGAACTTTTGAGGCTGAGTGCCCTTCAGGAAAATCAGACCCACAACCTAGCCTGCTCTCCTTCTGTCTTGCCTTGTGTTGCTACAGGCCTACCCACAAGGAGCAGTCCCCCAGAGTAGACTGTACAGATCTTCAAGACTAGACCCTTCCTGTCCTTTCCTACATGCTTTGATAAGCTTGGAAATAGTTCAATGAGCAGGCAGGCACCTGAGTTAGCACCCACAGAGTTAGTTCCTGAAATTAACAAGCAAACTTTAATCTATGACAGGTGACTCATGGGGAGAAGCACAAAAACAAAACAAAAGAAAAGAAAAAACAACAGCCAAGAAACAGCAACATCAGTTTCATCAGCTGTTTCATCAGGGCTCTATGACGTATCAGACATTTCCCAATTTTGCATGCCCAAGGAATTTCCCATTAAAAATGCAGTGACTTTGTGGGTGAAAGCAATCAGTTAATTCATTTCAGGCATTAATACGGCTGCCATTGCCATAGCATTTGAGGGCCTTGCTCTCTTTATTGTGTTTAAGCTCACTTCGCCCGAGGAGGTTGAAAAGAGCTATCATCTCCAATTTACAGATGAGCCACTGAAGAGCAAAGGACTGCTCAATGCAGAAAACTGAGCTCAGCATAGCTATGGTGTGTTTGTGTGAGACAGAAATCCATCCCCCTAAGAGACACAGACCTAACCCCCAGTGTAGATGGTTGATGTACAAATTGGACCATTCATCTGAAATCACACATTCCCAAACTCTGAAAGGGCAGATAACATGGGGCCTGCATCCCAGTCACTCCTGCAAAACACACTGTGACTGATGAGGCCCAAACCCCAGAATCACGTCCTCTGTCATCCCTAAATTAGAACCATCATTCAAGCTCCTTTTCCATGACTCAAGAGGGCCAGACCCTCCTCTGGGGTAAATCAGCACGGCTCCCATTGACTTCAGTGGAGTTGCTTGTTTGCACCAGCAGAGGATCTGGCACGTCATCATCAAAAGCACACGATGAAGCGGGCTGGGTTGGAGAGTCAGTGTTGGCTGACATCTAAACATGTCTAACATTGCTACCTCACACTGCTCTGAACAACTCTCTTCCCATTTCTGACTAGGAAGTGAGCAGCACAGGCCACCTCTCCTCCACTCCACAATAAAACATCCCTGTTGCCCCACCCAAAGAATATTCAAGTCTCCAAGATCCTGTGCTGCCAGTAGGGATGTAAATGGTTAACTGGTAAGCTTCCCCTCTCTCTCCCCCGCCCCACACTGCAGGTTACACACAAAGCTTAGTTCTTTGTCCAAGCAAGTGAGCCAGAAGGAACGAAAGCAAAACCAGGGAATATGACAAAAACAAAGAACAAAAATGAGCTAAGCAGTAAATGCTTATCAAAAACAAACCAAGAGCTTCTCATTTCCAACAAAGCTGCATTTCCCAAATTCCCAAGAGACTAGAACTGCCTTGGTCACATAGTTGGAGCGAGTTACCTACCGCTTTGGGGCAATGGATGTATCTAGCGAGACTGATGATCAAATCGTGGGTGATTGGATCCACTAGGTTTCGGAAGCTGGCGTATCTGTACAAGACGTCATCCAGAGAGGTCGATTCCATTCCTAAATCCTGCAGAAAACAGGAGTCAAGTTAGTTACCCTCAGAGATCTGATGGCTACAGCCCGTCTCTCCCAATTCTCCTGCGTTGGCAGTCTCAGGGCAGAAGCTAAGGAACTGAGATGTGCCTGTCTCTAAGTAACTTGGCAAGCTGCTATGGGCACGCTTTTACTCTGATGCTTTACCTGCATAATGGAGAGCAGACACTAGGCTCCAGGGCTTCAAACTTGGCTCCCTTCACAAGCAATCAACTCACTGAGCGAGCTGTACTCAGCAGACCTCTCACTCACCCAGGGTGTGTCTAGACTGCAGGCTTCTTTCGAAAGAGCCTCTTTCGAAAGCATCTTTCGAAAGAGGCTCTTTCGAAAGAGCGCGTCTAGACTGCAGGCGGATCTTTCGATAGCGGAAATCCGCTTTTTCGAAAGAGAGCACCCAGCGAGTCTGGATGCTCTCTTTCGAGGAAGCCCTATTTACATTGAAGAACGCCTTCTTTCGAAAGAGGAACTTTCGAAAGAAGGCGTTCTTCCTCGTGAAATGAGGTTTACCGCCATCGAAAGAAAAGCCGCGTTCTTTCGAAATAATTTCGAAAGAACGCAGCTTGAGTCTGGACGCAGGGGAAGTTCTTTCGAAAAAAGGCTACTTTTTTCGAAAGAACCCCTGAGTGTGGACACAGCCCCAGGGACTAGCCAGAGGTGATGCCACTGAAATCAGGGCTATCAGAACTGTGCCAGCTGAGAGAATCTGACCCAGCGTGTCCCATCACACAGTGAGGTAAGACATCTTGGCACAAACCCCATAACCCTATTAAACACCCTTGTGTATATCGACCATCCCACTCCTTAACATTTCATAAAAGGTTTGGGGGCAAGGGATTAAATACAGTTTTTCAATTTATTTCAGACATCGTCTCTCTTTTAACTATCTCTTGTTCCTCGAGAGCAACTCCCCAAGGGCCACAGGAGCACGACTCAAGCTTACTGATGGATTACAGGGAGTTCTACAAACAGAGCAGCTTCTTCTCGAAGATAAAAGCCCTTTGCTCCACTTCTAATACAAGGATGCCCTTGCGGTTAGGGCAGTGGGCAGGGACTCTAGAGATTTGGGTGATTCCCAGCTCTGTCACAAACTCTCTGTCTGACCATGGGCAAGTCACTTAAATCTCTCTCTGCAGCATTTTGTGCCTGAACACTAGGGTGGGATAGACTGGGGCAGTGGTCTCTGTAAGCGGCGTACTTGTGCAGCCACTCAGGAAAATGAGCACCCACAGTTAGCTTTTGTGTTTGTCTTGGTGGTGCACATTCACACATGCCTCAGAGCACATAAACATTTATTTTGCACATGGATGGAAAATTTAGAGGGAACATTGGTCTGGGCTGTAAGCCCTTGTAATCACAAGGATCTGTGACTGCTTGCCCTGTAGCCTGCTCGCCAGACCCAGCCTTAGGGCGAGGTGAGCAAGGCGGCTGCCTTGGGCCCTGCGCCTTCAGGGCCCCGTGCTGCCCAGCACCCACCCACCCACCCCCGCCTGCTGCCCTGGCTGGGAGCCGCCTAGCCACGCAGTGCAGCCAACTTCAACATGCCACCTTGGGCCCCACAAACTCTTTGACCGGGCCTGGCGCTCGTGAACACACACACACACACACACACGCGCGCGCGCGCGCACAACCTTTCACTTCTGGGATCATAGTCCATCCATCTCGACACCTTGCATTCCAGGTACCTACTTCCAAGTGCGACGTGCACCAACCCAACTGCTGTCAGACTTGCCTCCCATTCTGTAAAGTACTTCTGTCGACAGGCCCCACCAGCCTTCACAGGACAGCCTAAGATGGTGCTTTCAGAGTTAACACTGGAGTGAGTAGCTGCCCTACCAACATCACCCCAGTCTGTGTCAGTAACAGCAACATCTGGCAACTCAGAATTTCTCGTGTGGCTTTGGTAAGCAAGATCAGCTCTCTCTCGGGATGACTCGTTCACCAGCTGAGCTGAGATTCCAAGCAGCGTGTACACACCCTGCACACACATTCGTGTCACACTGCACATTTCAGGCTGCCTCCCTTCCCCGGCAGGAAGCTGAGGGGGGTTCTCACACTTGGACAGGCAGGAAAGCAGCCATATGAGTGTTCCCCAAGGCATGCCCTAGACGTAGGGCAAAATGGGAATGTAAAATGATGACTCCAGGGAGAAGGGAAAACATCAGGAAGGACCAAAAGTTTTCAATTGAGGGGAGGTCCTGGATGATTGGAAAAAGGCAAATGTAGGGCCCATCTTTCAAAAAGGGAAGAAGGACGATCCAGGGAACTGCAGACCAGTCAGCCTCACCTCAGTCCCCGGAAAAATCCTGGAGGGGATCCTCAAGGAATCCATTTTGAAGCACTTGGAAGAGGGGAAAGTGATCAGGAATAGTCAATAGGATTCACGAAGGGCAAGTCGTGCCTCACCAATCTGATTAGCTGCTATGATGAGGTAACTGGCTCTGTGGACATGGGGAAGGCAGTGGACACGATATATCTTCACTTCAGTTTTCCCAGCACTGGCTCCCTGCTGCGCAGGGGGTGAGCAAGGGAGGGGCTTGGCTTGCGCTTCAAAAGAGCCGTAACTGGCTCCCTAGTGAGCCATAATTGGCTCACGTGTCATAGGCTGCCGACCCCTGGGCCAGAGTGACCTAGACAAATTGAAGGATTGGGTCATGGAGCGAGGCACTATCTGAATTACTTCTAAAGGCCTCTCCTCCAGCCTTGGAGCAGGGACCACTGGACCCAGAATTCAACTGATTTTAAAACAAGGGAACCGGATGGGGCCACCGAGGAGAGAACCTTGGACATTGCTCACTGCTCCTTGAAGCTGTCCGGGAGCCAGTGCACGCCACCCAGAGGAATTCTGCCCGGATGCATGTCACTAGGGAGAAGCGGAATAGGCACTCCCTCATCTAGCATCCTCCTCCTGGTGCTACAAATGGCGGCTTTCGCCAAGGTCAGGAGGAGGTCGGCGAGGCCTCGCGACTTTGTGGGCCCATGGATGGGGTGCGCATAAATGAACTGGTGTGGGGAAAAGTGCAGCCAGAACCTCAGCAGGAGGGTCTGGAGGAGCCGGAAAAGGGGCTGCAGCTTGCTGCATTTGAGGTAGGCGTGCGCCAGGGTTTCCCTCATGCCACAGAAGGGGCGGGGGTAGGGGATGGGGGGGGCCTCCAACTGATGTCCACAATGGGCCACGGGATCAGGGTGGAATACACACTGGCCCACCAGAGTGCCTTCCCCTCGACAAGTGTTCGGTGGTCCTGCCACTTGATATCGGGGCGGGATACAAGGGCAAGGAAATGCAGCGTGTGGAGCGCGAGTGTGCACAGTTTGGAAACCGACCAGCTGCAGATCCTGGGATGGGGAGGCGAGGCTGGAACATGGAACAGGGGCCCAAGAAAAAGGGCTGGAGGGCTTGCAGTGGGGGTGGGGCAGGGCGTACCCTCTCCCAGGGCTCACTGCAGGAAAACAAGAGTGGGTTGTGGCAAAGTCTCCCGCACCTCTTGGAGTATGCGCAGGAGGGTTCAGGGGGGTGGAGAGCCCCATGTGCTGAGCAAGGGCTTGCCAACACGCTCCACACCTGAACTGTACAAGAGCCTCTGGACACAATACTCCAGATGTGGCCTCACCGGAGCCGAAGAGAGGGGAATAATCACTTATCTAGATCTGCTGTCAGTGCTCCTCCTAATGTAACCTAATATGCCATTAGCCTTCTTGGCTACAAGGGCACACTGTTGTCTCGTATCCAGCTTCTTATCCACTGTAATCCCCGTAGGTTTGTAGTTACTCAGAAACCTACAAAGTCCTTCACTCTTAGTCTGTCAGGGTATGTCTACACTACCCCGCTAGTTCGAACTAGGAGGGTAATGTATGCATACCGCACTTGCAAATGAAGCCCGGGATTTGAATTTCCAGGGCTTCATTTGCATAAGCGGGGAGCCTCATGGAACGAGGTATACCGGTAGTTCGGAATAGGAATCCTAGTTCGAACTACCTAGTTCGAGCCCCATGTAGCCACGCTGCACGGGGTTTGAACCAGCGGGGTTTTAAAAATGGTGGCTCCCCGCTTATGCAAATGAAGCACGGGAAAGTCAAATCCCGGGCTTC